GGCACTGTGGCTCAAGTGGTAGAGTACTAGACTTGAGCTGAAGAGCTGAGGGACAGTGCCCAGGCCCAGAGTTCAGGCCCCACAACCGGACCCCCCCAAAAAATTAACATTCTGGTGGGTTAGGGTGTGGTTCAAGTGGAAGGGTGCCTGTTCTGCAAGCTTGAAGTTCTGAGTTCAAACCACAGTACTGCAAAAAAGCATAGAATCCCTACTAAAGGTGAATAGTAATTAAATGTACTATGAAAAGATAATACAAACTGTATTGGAAATGGTAAAAGAGTTAATTATTTCCAAATGATAAAGATAAAAAGAATCAAACTGTATGTATAGGAAGGATTCACAACTTGGAACAGATAATATAAATGCTAACAAATCATTTAGTATAAGCTGATAAAATAGGTGCATATTTTATTCCCATGCAAGATCTTAACTGCAATTACTTAAGGAAATGATATCAAATAATTATTTATATTTTCCTGATTCTTTTCACTGGAAAAGAGTGAGCCAGGATCCTGAATGTATAAATATAGAAGTCCTAAATTTCAGAACAAAATAAACAATCATAGTTTGAAAATTTTAATTGGTTAACTGTTCCATTTAAACTTCATTTTGACGATAGGTGAACACTGTAGAAAGTTTACTCAGGGCATGGAAAAATTTACAATTATGGTCAGGCTGTGCATTGAGAGGTCAACCTAATATGCTCACACCATAGAGAAACATCATCTTCTACTTCAATTGTGATTTATAAGAAAAAATTCAGAGGTTGGAATAAAGTTTACAGGTCAATAGTGCAAGGTTCATTCATACAATCTGTACTTACTCTGTGAGCCACATGATGTCACTCTTGGCCATGGCATTCTCTTTGATTCAAGAAGAATCCTTCCCCCTTCCCCTGGGAAGCAGGCTCCATTCTTTTTCACTCTGTAACAAACAATGGCGAACCTAGGAGAGTGAAGCTGAGACAAGAAGATGATTTCTCCGAGTTTCGAGGTAATATACACCAGTTAAAAAAAGATCTTGCACTTGAAATGGTGTTCTCAGGCGGAACCAACCTAGAGAGCGTGAATCTACTATTTTCACTTCTGCTCTTCACATTATGGGAAGCCGGGAGCGGCCAGCTCCATTACTCAGTCCCAGAGGAGGCCAAACACGGCACCTTTGTGGGTCGCATCGCGCAGGACTTGGGGCTGGAGCTGACGGAGCTGGTGCCGCGCCTGTTCCAGTTAGATACCAAGGGCGGCGGGGACCTTCTGGAGGTAAATCTGCAGAATGGCATTTTGTTTGTGAATGGTCGGATCGACCGGGAGGAGCTGTGCGGGCGCAGCGCGGAGTGCAGCCTGCACCTGGAGGTGATCGTGGACAGGCCGCTGCAGGTGTTCCACGTGGAGGTGGAGGTGAAGGACATTAATGACAACCCGCCTGTGTTTCCGGTAAATGTGCAGAAGCTGTTTATTTCAGAATCCAGAACGCTAGACTCTCGATTTTTGCTAGAGGGCGCATCAGATGCAGATTTTGGAGCAAATTCAGTTTTAACCTATGTGCTTGACTCTAATGATTACTTCACGCTAAGTGTGAATTCAAAGAACAAAGAAAATAAACAAGTTGAACTCGTGTTAAGAAAATCTTTGGACAGAGAGGAGGCTCCTGAACACAGCCTACTCCTGATGGCCACCGATGGAGGGAAACCCGAGCTCACTGGCTCTCTCCAACTGCTGGTCACCGTGCTGGATGTGAATGACAATGCTCCCAGTTTTGAACAGTCGGAATATGAGGTGAGAATTTTCGAAAACGCAGACAATGGAACAATGGTTATCAGAGTGAATGCTTCTGATCGTGATGAAGGAACCAATGGGGCAATTTCATATTCGTTTAGTAG